ATGGCTCATAAAGCTATTCTCCAAGGGCCAAAATATATAGTGGATTGCTTCTCTGCAGCCATGGCTTTTGTACAGCACAAACTGTCAGACAAGGAAAGTGTGTTATCGCCTGTATGAGTCAAAAAAAGCTACAGGCAAAAGAGTGTCACAACTGCTTGAAACAACAAATGTGATACTGACTCAGAGAGAACAGGCAACCTTCAACCATCTCCAGCGTTATGTTAAAAATGCTGACCAAAACAAAGCTGAAAAATTCCTGCGCTTCTGCACTGGTTCCTCTGTTATATGTGTTGAAAAAATTATGGTTAGCTTTAATGCTGAAACTGGGCTCAGCAGAAGGCCCATTGCCCACACATGTGGAGCTACCCTGGAGGTACCATGTACTTATACCTCTTTCCTTGAATTTCGTACCGAGTTTGACAACATTCTGTCCAGTATCTACTTTGAAATGGACATCCTTTAAAGTAAACAGTGGACAACTATCGGGCCTAGTAGTAACAGGCCTTGTTTCATTAACTTGTATTATTTTATGTATTTTATTTTTTGGTACTTGAAACATCTGATGCACTGTTCCTTTTAGTTCTACAATTATTTTGGAAATTATGTTTGAAATGGCTGCAGCTTTAATTTCTGTTACTTCTGCCATAAACCAGCTTAGGCTTAAGTTCCTTTTTTTTTATTAGCACATTTTTTACAAAAGTACTTAAGTTCATATTTTGTTTTGTTATAGCTTTGCTAAAAAGTAAGATTACAGAGTTTTCCATCATTGGTAGTACTGTAAACTATTAACAGTTACTGGAATTAAGTTGTTTGTGTTTTGGAAAAGATATTGCTCAGAGTAGAGCGTACTTGTGTGAGGTCCTGTCTATAAAATCTGCATTCAACACTGCTAAAAACAGAACAGGCTACCCATCTCTGACATTGTTTGGCAACATAGTTTAATGTTTTTGTGCCAGTTGACAGAATAAAATAGTGATTATGACTTTTGACTCATACATATTTGATTCCACCTATTCCTGCTCCATTCCAATGTAATAATGCATTTACACCAATCAGCCATAACATGACCACTGACTGGTGAAGTGAACAACACTGATTATCTGGCTACAGTGGCACCTGTCAGTGTGTGGGGTATATTAGGCAGCAAATGAACATTCAGTCCTTGAAGCTGAGGTGTTGGAAACTGGAAAAATGGGTAGGGCAAGGATCTGATTAACTCTGACAAGGGCCAAACTGATGGATAGACGACTGGGTCAGAACAAACTGAAGGTTGGATGTGTTTAAAAATAAAACTTTGAAATGGGAAGTGTAAAAGACTGTCTTGGAGGTTTGAGCCTCTATCTAGTGTGCACATTTAAACACAGTTCCAATTTGGATTCAATTATTTATTTCTGATGAAATACGGGAGGGAGTAACATTGCAGAGAAGTGGGTTTTGGGGTTGTGGAAAAGCGGATGGGTGGGTGAGTATCCACCAATGCAAAGGAAAGCGCTGCTCTATGACAAGAACTAAGAAACAAACATTGATAAACAATAATGAGCAGGGATAGTGGTCTACAAACAATTTAGTAACAAAAAAACAAATCAAATGTGGCAACTTACTGGTATGGCAGAACAAAGGGAAATCAATGGAGAACACTCCTCACCTTGTCAGGTGACCTTCTTCCTGTTTCCCTATCTTAGCTTGGAATTCTTTAACAGGAAGTGACAAGCAAAACCATCCATAGAACCAACTGCTTACTTCAAGATAAAGGTCAACATAATGTCCATCCAGGACACAGTCTTAATACTCCTGACTTAAAGAGATGCACTAATGGCCTCTCTTAGGTGCATATACAAGTTCACAGCTTGATATGGATCTGTTGGTAGAGTCAGATGGGATTCAGCCATAATAATATTGCCCAGTTCATATACAGTGAGTACGGAAAGTATTCAGACCCCCTTAAATTTTTCACTCTTTGTTATATTGCAGCCATATGCTAAAATCATTTAAGTTCATT